TTTTTGAAAACTTCTCTAGTAATATAAGATACTCTTATAAGACTTTCCTCTTAACTTTAAAAATTTTAATAATCTAATAACTTTGCATATGTGAGTTAGGCTGTCTTCTCTGTTTTTATTGGCTACATTTAAAAATAACATGTCATGCTTCATGTTCAATCAAAATAAATTACATTATTTTAATTGTGTAAGCCCGCCTATATGAATTGATCTTGTCATTCGATACATTCTTTTGTAAATTGAAGATTTTTACTAAATTTCCTTTTAAAATGATATCAAAGAAATATACTTAAGGTACTTTCAGAGTTTGGATGAATTCAAACATGATTTGGGGAAATAATATATAGTATGGTGAATGTAACAAATCATATAGAAAATCTGAAAATCTTTCAGAAAATGTTCTAAAAATAAATATTTAGAACTTTTGGTCTCATTTCTTTAACTCATTTGCAAACTGTAAAACATTTGTTGTCATTTGAATTTCTTATTATATATTATGTGATACAGATTTTAAACATAGAGGTTTTTATTTTGCTTCCTTAATTTATTCAAAGAATGTTTTACTGGAATATACCTGAATATTGTTTCATCTTAAATATTAAATAGGAGGCTTTTCTGGTTGGTATTTCTCTTAATGCATTAAGACAGTAGTTACCAAACAAGTTTTTAGCTTGATACCTATCATTGTAAAGATTTAAATGAATAACAAACCTATTCCTGCTATTAATGGGCACAAGGATTTCTTTTTACCCTAGTTCTGTCCAAGCTTATTCTTATTCTTTATAAGACAAAGTGACATACTAGAGCAGTAGAGACCTAGATTCTACTTCCGCTTTCCCTTCATTACCTTCATGACCTTGGGCAAATACCATGTACTTAAGAGTCTGGGTTTCCTCATCTGTACAATGAGAATCATAGTAACACTTGTCCCATCTATTAATACTTTACTGGTTTTTGTGAAGATGAAAAGAGATCATACCTGCACAAGCAATTCAGTTAGAATAAGTGAGTAGAGAAGAATGAAGAGACTATGAAGTTAGACTTATAATGTCTCTAGTGTGTCTGTGGCTCTGGTCATTTATAGATGTATTGAACGGATTTTTTTTCTTTTAAAATAGGTCTCTTGATTGATAGAGTTCTTATTTTCTTATACCTCAGCATTGTGTTCTCCTCAATTGTTTCCTGGTTGCTTTGAGTGACTCTGCTTATATACCATGCTACGTTTGTACTCCATTAGTGAAACACAGTAGCCTTATGGTGGTTAAGAATCAAATAATGTTCGTACCTTTGCAATTGTTAGCATAACTGTCCTATAGTTTGTTTTAAGAACCTGTTTAAGTTATTGGGTTAAGTTGATGGGTGTACTTTTATGAAATTAGAAATTTTTCTGTTTATAGCCCACATTTTACTCTAGTTTTTATTTTCTATCAGCTGCTGTTTGCAAAGTAGACTCATTTATCAAGGGAGAGTGAAAAGAAAGGTTAGTAAGGTGATCTAATTTCTTACTCTTAAAAAGGAAAATTCCTTAGTTATTAAAATAACCCTATTGCATTTAATGACTGTAAAAATTTAATTACAGTTGTATTAATAAAATGTTCAAGGTGTATTTCATTCATGAGAAGGGTTGATAAATGCTTAAAATAATACTTAAAAAGTAGTCAGTGAATTATTTCTACATAATAACATCATGAACACAGTTTAAAAGTATAGCATTGGTAACATTTTAGAATTAATTATACAAAGAGTATAATATAGCAAAACTGGAATTAACATTACTTCTAATCTAAAGGACACCATAAATTTTGAGCCAGTTATTTTATTTCAGAGCAGTTTATTCTTCAGGAATTTAATTCTTGGCTTTTAATACTCAAGGTTGAAATGAGAGGACAGTTTATTAAAGCTAACACTTTTTATCCTGGACTGGATGGGGAAGGATGGATTGCCTCTTAAATTCCTATTGGGAAGACTTTCTAGCAAGAAAAGGCAAATATAAGAAGTGTTTTTGAATCTTGCAGATTTTAAGTACACATACTCTCTTACCTATAAAGCAGCATTTTATGTATTTTTAAGAACATAGACCATACCTTTTCATTTTATTAACAGACAATGGGAAAACTAGCTCAGATATTGGGTAGCTTATCATTTGTTTTACAGTGTTTAGAAATTACCTCCTTTCTGAGTAGCTATTAACATCTTGATGTTGATGTAGAATTGAGTTTTGTTTTAAAATGGAAAAAGTAGTGTTGTTTTTTTTTTTTTTTCTGGTCAGGGGCATGGATGGAAAAAAATAGTGTGATTTTCAAAGCCATTATTATCTATCCATTCTGATTTTGTTGTGGATATGGGAATACTGTTAGGAAAGAAATTTGAACTTCCTTTCAGAATGATATATTTTCTAATTGAAAACAGAATTTTTCTGAGAAAGCTTCATATACTGGACAACATATGAGAGAGAATATATTCCAAATAATGAACTTTTGACATCCTAGGAACTTATATCAGTGGGGTTCTTATAAGGATGAAGGCAGGCAACAGGAAAAATTCTTACTGTGTTTTGTTAGCAGCTCTTTGAAATTTTCTTTTCCAGATTGAATTAAAATAGATTGACAGATGTTCATCTGTACTAATTTTTAAAACTAAGCTATACTTGTGGTTAGCTGAACA